CCTGCTTTATGACTGTAAAGAAAAATGTATTGAATAATATTGATATTGAAGACATATTGACATATTGACATTGTTAAAAATACAAGCAATCTACATTTTATTAGATAAAAACTATGTACATTTTTTTTAAATTTAGTATTAAATTCTGTTTTTATTGAGCGCAAAATGTGAGTCAATATGCTTAGTTAGTACTGATTAGAGGAAAATATGTTCAATAAAACTTCAAAATAAACATAAAAAATCCCTGTAACAATCACTAAATACCTATCTAAAATATCTCAACAACGATTGACGAAACAAATTTGAGTGCCAAATATTTTTCAATACATGTATAAATGTAATACGTGTACTCCGGTATTATCTCGTAATAATAAGAAATAATAATAATTATGTTCCACTGGTAATATACGAGTAGATTACAGACATATTGTTTGCTTAAATTTTATTTTTGAAATACACGATGTCTCTAAAACGTTATTGATAAATATTATTTTGTATGTTTTATAATATTATACTTTGTTAAACACACGTAATGTGTACGCCGTGTGCGATAACGAAATAAATACAAGGAGTGAGGACTCGTATAAAATATAAATAGTCGTAGGTATATAAATTCGGCGTCCATTAGATGGTGAAGAAGATAGATAAAGAAGTAGGCACAATATTATTACAGCGACTACGCCACTATATAGTCACTACTCACTACAGTATTGTGGCAATGGCAGTGGTCGCCGGTGGGGATATACGAACCGTAAGATATCCCTACCATTTTCGTAACACAAATTTCTGATCAATCCGTATATAGTATATAGTATATACTATACATTACAAGTCAAAAACAAAACTACTTTTTTTTTGTAGACAAACATTAATTGATGCGATAAATCAAGGCAATAATCTAATGTCGTGTAGAAGAACTATCGCATGTGACTTTGAAACTTTTTATAACAGTTGACCCGAATAGTAGAATATTCATGATTATTGAGTTTTTGACAAATTTTTGGCTTGAGTTTAAAAGTTTGGTATTATTGTTCGTAGCTCGTTATTCAAATAAGTATACAATTACTTATATTAACGCTTGCAAGTTGTAAAGTCTATAGTATATATTATTATTATACTCTACGTAGTATATTACGGTACAAGTCATTCAGCGATTATTGTAAGAATAATAATAACAATACTATACAATGCGTCAATGCGCGATAAGTATGGACTTGTGGTATTATATATTTTGTAGTAATTGTACAATGTACATTTATACATAATACATATTATTTGGTAGGTACATGCATTTAAATAAGTTAAAAGCCAAAAATCCTTGTATACAATTATAATAAAACAAGTTAAATAATTAGTTAACAAATTTCACCTTTTTACGGTACATTATTGTAATACGAACCACCATAATATTATCTAAAAAAAAACACTTATATTATGTTAATATCTATTATAGGTCTAACTTAAAATATGAGTTAGCAATTTTTTTATTCTTCAGTATTAAATTTGTATTATATATAAAATACAAAATAAAACAATTTAAAACGACTAATAGCCATATTGACGAAGCAGGGGGGCTGGCTAAGCCCTTCTAAATATAAAATAAGCACACTAATTTCCTAAAACTCACACTGTAGGTTGAAGGTCCTTATTAGTTATTATTATGAATAGAGCACCTACTTAGTACCTATAATGTACTTAATATTTTTTCATAATATATATTAATCAATAATCAAAACTATATTATAACGTGTATAATTTATGCATGAAAATATGTTCAAGCCACTTAAATTCTATTTTGTTTTGGCATAAGTTATATTTTATTGATAGATGATAAAGTTTTTATTATTTATTAAATTAATTGTGTCAAGACACCAGGTATTTTTACTATGTTAAATATGATAAAATTTAAACAATAGAATCGGCCCGAGGGCTTCAGCCAAATAATTTTATAAAGTTCCGATTAAACTATATAAAGGTATTTTAAGAGAATGTCACCGTGCTGTTAGTTTTCTCTCTCTCTATCCCACGTGTATAATACAGACAAATGCTATTTAATTAATTATCAATGTTCTAGAAATAATAATAATAATAAATTGATTCAAATTTCAAATAATTGGGTTCGGGTTTATTATAGCCATATCAAATTTTCTGATAGTTATAATATAATATCGATAATTATATATATTATATATAAACAAGATTTCAGTTAGGTTTATACAACGGCAATAACGGGGAGGGGAAGTAAAGGTCTGCACACAACTTTAATGCAAAAGTTTTAAAGATTTTTCACTACTTGGAGTTGAACTGTACTTAATTTATTATTCTATATGCTCCCTTATTCCCCTGGCTCCTTTATTAACGTGATAGCTGGCATATAAGGTATTTCAATAAAATTACACTATTGGATAAGTATACCGTCTTATTAACAATTCTTACCATAAATTATTATATTTTAATTCACAATTATTCGGTACGTAATTATTATATAATACACTACATACTAGGGATAGCCAAACGGTGGATCGCAGACGATTTCTGCAAAGTCGATCCCCCTTTGTTAGAATGTATTATTATAAATTTAGAACCCCCGCCCTAATAAATCCCAGTGACCTACACTGTCGACAATAGTTGCACGTATTTTTATGGTTCCTCGAAGGAAAAATATATATTCTCGATACTTCTTTATCGAAAAAAATTTAGCCACTCCTGTTTTATACATTTCGTTATATAATGAACAACAACATTCTACTATATAGGTTATAGATATACTTGACCGATTATGTATCTTATTGCTAAATATTAAAATAATGCCCGGCAGTACATATTATGTACACTGTACAGGGCGGCAGCACTACAGTCTACAAATATCTCAACATCGTAGCCCCTATAGGTTATAGGCCTATAACGTAGTATACCTTCTTATATAAAATATATTGCCACTTGTCACAATATAATGGATCCAACTATATACAGTACACACCGTAACCTAAAGATGAGTATTAATAGACTACATGTAGATTGTTGTGTAGGTATATAATATTAATATAATATGTACATAGTTGGGCCCGAATGTTCGACGAAATTATTAGTGCACGGATCCTGCTCTCTCACCTTTGAAAGTCGTGGTATAAGTCCAATCGTCCTCGGACACCCATCGGTACGCTACGTCGTTGTACCGGCGCAACGGGTCTTCGTTCAGTACGCTGTTGGATCGCAAGTCGGCGAACACGCCGCCGGGCACTCGGGCTGTCCCAGAGACACCTGAAAACACGGCGGAGTATATGATATATAGGTACTTATGAAGACATAGCTACTGTATTATATAGTAACACTTATTGTTATTTACTCGTCGAACGATTGATTTTTTTTTTTAAAGAAAATGTATTATTTGATTAATACAAAATGATACAAAGTATTAGAGAAATAATAAAAATGACCTACACCTTTAAGTTAAGCTTGTGGTGGTGTAGGGAGTTACACTATGCTTATAGGTATAATGTAATATTTTACAGTGTGCAGCGTGAAGTGTACCTATATTATTGCAGTATTAGTATATTCATTCTACAGGGGCGTAGAGCCAGCATAATATGCAGGAGGGGGTTAAGTATAGGTTAAACCAAGTTTTTACAGTTTTCGAATGTAAATAATACATTTATTGGGGAGGGGGGATTAAGCACCCAAACGTCCCAAACCTCTTCTGGCTACGCCACCGAGTGTATTACATTGGTCCAACGTGGAATCAAAACAGTTGTATTGTTTTCAAAAAAGACATTCGGATATTCAGATGCATACTATAAAATTGTGGATCTGAATTATATTAGGTACAGTGCAAAAATATCAATGAAAAAATCACTCAGCACGGCTGTGATTTGTGATTTCCGAAAAAACTGCCGTTCAAATAAAAAAGAAAAAAAAGTAGAAGTAGAAAATCTTTATAATCGATAAAAGAGGGATGGGGGGGCGAACGGAGTACTTAAATACGTCGAAGTTTACAATCATTAAGATCCCGTCGACTATGTATCACCACTCACTGGTATTTCTGTTAGCGAAGCGCCAGTGGGACGAGTCCAACGACCACTCGAACACCGTGCCGGAGACGGCCGACGAGCACAGGAGGAACAGCACTGCAATAATTTCTGCTGCGAGCTGCATGATTCCTGTAAGAGCGATGCCGTATCCGGTTCGCCGGCAAAAATCGTACTGAATACTGATAGTGTCAGTCGTCAGAGCTCGAGCGAGATGGTCACTCTGATCGTTCGGACTCTGTCCGCGAGTCTGTGCCGTCTCCCGTGTTTCGTACACGACACCAATGTAGGTAATCTCAAAATTATTATTATACAAACATAACGCGGTCGTATAGCGAACCAGCTTGTTATACCGCGAACACTACGACGCACGACGTTGTTTATTATTTAAGCGCGCTCAAATGCTTTGTACCTCATCGTATACTGTATAGGTATGTCGTCATGCGGCAGCTGCTTGATGAGCGTACAATATTGTAGGTATTGTTTGTATTATTATAGTCAATGTACGATTTTACGCGTATAATATTATAATAATAATGAATAATACGAACGCAAATTATTGCTTAGGGTATTATTGCTGGGTATAATATAAAAGTCTGGAACATTACGACATAAAACACGACGGCAACGGCGTGGTTCGTAAACTATTAATTGTTGCTAGAATAATATAGTGTTCTGTACGTCCGTCCGGCAATGTGTTAATAATATTGTAGCGTTCCATCCGGTACCTGTACATATTATACAATATTGTAATTTAAAAAATATTATACAACTATAATTATTATTGTATATTATTACTATACGATCGTCGCGTTGTTATTATTGTATATTATTATTATTATTATTATTAGCAGTATACACTATACAGCGTTTGCGTACGTGCCGCCGTACCACGCATGCTCCCCGGTCGGAACGCGACCCCTCCACCCCCCGCCGAACAACACCACCTCCGCCCCGGCTGACGACCGAACGCGAACCGTCCAGCGCCACCGACTGGCAGTCGAAGTTTGACTGCTTTGGCTTGCGGACGTGCGTTCATCGTTCGTACGACTACGCCCCCCAATCGATAACGACACCGTTCGTTTTCGTGTGCCGATTCGAACGTTAACCGTTCGCGTCACAATACCTCATCCGTTTCCAGTCGATTCCTACGATCCACGGCCGTCCCGAGAGACCTAGGAGACGCGCGACCAGGACGACGAAAACAACAACAACAACAAATAACAATGGAAGACGACCAAAATGGCGTCGCCACCGCAGTCGTCGGGCGGCCGCCGAACAGCGAAACCTGCGGAATGATCGTCAACCACGGCGGCGGCGGCGAGGAGGGCCCGACGGCGACGGCTGCGGCGGCGGCTGCAGCGCCTCCGACACCAGCGCTCCCAGCGGCGGCGGCAACAGCGTTTGGAGCCCCGGCGCGCCCAGCGCCACGGTACGGCGCCCATCTCAACTGCAACAATAACAATTCGGTCATCAAAGGGCAGCTAAAGGTACGCGCCGTCTATGTAACTAACCCCTAACCGACTTTTCCCCGCGCTTAACATCCTCCGTTTCGTTTTTCCGATTTTCTTTGTTCCCTCCCGGTAGTGCTCGACGACGAAAAGTAAACGTCACGAGGAATATGTCGGCGGACGTGACGTGTATTCGTACGATTGAGCAATTATTTGTTTACAAATTTACAATATTGATTTTCACGAGTAAATCTTGTCGGCCATCAAAGCACTTTTCTTTTTTTACGAACTCACGCCACGGGCGTATCGGTTCCCAACCGTCGCACAATAATATGATAATATGTTATTATTTATATTTGGCGTACCTACGTTTAATGAGAGTGCTGTCAGTGTGGAATGAAATAGTAAAATACACTAACGAGTGTGCCAAGGACGACCACTATTATAGACCGATTATAAAACATGTTTTTTCACTTCAATTATCTTTGTTGTTGGTGGTGGTTTACAATTCCAGTGCTTTATGGCTTAAAAGTATTGCGACGAATTTAACTACATGTCTAGTTGATTTGAGAAAACTCGTTTGCGCACGGTACATATTTCGGGTATTTTCCGATTTACTTAAAAAAAAGTTTTTGTACCTACATTTTTATTTACCTATGCTCAATTTGAGATAATCGTGTGTTGGACTAGATCATTTATTTGCTGTGTGGGAGGGGGGAGTTTTAAAAATAACATCCAAGACTTCATCCAATCTCTTCATCATAATACTATAAGAAACAAACTATGTTTAAAAAATACCGTTTGGTTGCTGAATATCATATTTTATCTCATACTTGGCACTCAACAAAAATATACTACTTACCTACCTCAACATAAGATGATCATGATTGTAGTATTGTTTATTTAAATTTCAATAACTTTCAAAGTATAATCTGTAAACACTGTATGCTCATGTTGCTACATTATAGAGAATTATTACATTATGTACAGAATTAAAATATTTTTTATTATATTTACTGTTCCTAAAATGTACATAATATCCTCATTCCATTCAAAATGTAGAACAGTTATGTGTATTATATACCAGTTATGTGTTATATTGAACTATATCCACCCTGAATGTTCATATTGATAGATAATTTCTTTTTTTAATAGTTAGTGCTAAGTTTTTTTTTTTATCATAATGAAACTAATAAAATATTTTATAGGGTCCCGGTAATGTAGATCACAGAAACAGACGTACGCGTCGTGGTAAGCGTAAAAGCAGGAAGCAAACACCATACATGAGGGATGGGATGTTATATCGAGACAAGGCTGTGGCTCCTAACAACACTAATCAATTCTTAATGGATGATCATAATGATGGACCAGACATAGATAAAAAACTGTTTGCACGGTACAGCAATGAAAATGGACGTACAAGAAATTCAAGTTATACCAGTGTTGAATCAGAAGGCGAACAGATGTATTCTTCATCGGATGATGATGGTACTTCTATACAAAAAGAATTTATTGATACCTATAGACTTATTCAAGAAGAAGAATTGGCGGGGTTGACTCAAAGCGAACTCGTTCAACGAGTGATTGAGCTTGAGGAAAAAAACCAAATGCTAGAGTCTAATAAGAGGTAAAAAACAAAAATTGCATGTGAAATAATACCTAATTATATTAAATTTAATATCACTAATTAAAATTTAGTTATTAATAGTTTAAAATCACCAATTAACTATAATAACATTAAAGTATTATTTTATGTCACATACATTTTTTACAGGTTTTTTTTTATAAAAAATATTTTAAGTTACTAATAAATAGGAAAACATACAGGAAAAATAACTAATTAAGTTAATATTTTTATTTAATATAGGTTTAAAAAAAATACAGTTACATTAAATGGCATACCTAAAGAAGAAGATGAAGATAACTCTATTGATTTAGAAGAATATAGATCACTGCAAGTACAGAATAGAGAATTGATATCGCAAAACAAAGTGCTGCAAGCTGAAATTGAAACTCTCAAACAAATACAAAGCAAGACGAGGAATAATGATTCAGATAGCTCTGTAGATAGTGAAAGTTCATCAGACTCCAGTAGCTCTTCCAGTTCATCAGATGAACAAGCAATAGAAATGAAGTTCTTATTACGGAGTAGTGGAAGAGATGATTGATCAGTCAAGTACCAAAATGTAAATGCTTTTTCCTTGTAAATATAAGTATAAATATATATATATTTTTTTTTTAAGAACAGCTTCTGATAATATTTGTTATTAATATTAAGTTTTACTCATTCTCCAACAAATAACCAGATGGTTATTTTTAGGAACTCATTGTATTTTAATTTACCGGTATGTTACATAATATATATTTTTTATTTTGTGTAATTCCGGTAATGATCTCGAGTATTATAACTAATTTATGCTGAATATTTTGGTTTTACTATTATAAATCATCAGAATCGTAAACCCTTTTGAATTTATTATATATGTAACATTTTTTTTTAAATATATAATTCCAAAAAAATGATCTTTAACAATAATCGATTTTTACCTATTAAAAACTTTATAAAATGTTAAATCTCAAAACATCCCATGTTTTGTACAGGTATGGCGATGTATGTGTTGTATTTTTTTTTTAAATGTAAAGATTAAAATAAAAAAATTTCTAGAACTGTTAAAACACAAGTAGTTAAAATTTCACTGGGTTTTATTTTATTTAGGAATTTACACATTTGTATTGAAACTAGCATTAGCAATGCTAGTCCAATCTTGGATACTACTTGTAACCAAATATTATCTTGGTTTTATAAAATATATGCTATTTGTAAATTAAAAATACATAAATATATACTTAAAATATCATTTTGAATAAAACAAATAAAAAATCATTAAATTGGCACAGAAAAAATAAATAAGTTACTGTTAGGACATAAAATCAGGAGTTGCAATTTTAAAACCACTTATAAAATTGGCAAAAAGTTTGAAATAAATATTAATGTTTTGGAGTGTCTACCATTAGATACCAAAATTTGCACAACATATCGTCTTTGAACTGCTGTTCTTTAATGGTATCTTCTTTATTAACCATTAAAATAAAACAAGCTTCTAAATAATGCCTTGTTTTAAAATAGCTTCTAGTCAGTAGTTCTAATAATTCTGTCATCTCCAAAGTAGTATCTATAAATAAATAAATAACATATTGATAAATCAATTTAATTTGCTTACGCTTCTTACATTAAATAAAACACACTTGTACGGCGATAATCTAAAAGTCAATAGTACCCAAGCGAATTATTAAACAAAATTTAGGCATGTTATCTCATAAAGTAAGTAAACAAATCCTAACAGAAAAAAAAAATACAGACAATTCTCACTAATTGTTCCTCAAATAACATGTTGGGTATGCATGTACACAATATAATATATGAAAAGGGTGTACTGCCAGTATATTTCTGTGATAATCTATTGTACAGGATTTTGACATTGGTTTATACATTTTATTATTCTTGGTATATTAAAACTAAAAACTACACTGCAATTCATCAATCCTAATTAAATATCAGTTTTAAATTGAAATATATTTAATAATGGCGGCTGATTTGATAGGCTTTGTAGAATTTATTACAATATAAACATTTTAAAAAGTTTTTGATACAAATATATTACATAGCATATAAAATATGTATATTAATATATTTCAAAATAAAAATTCATATAATAAATGTTACTAACAAAAATGTATGTACAATTTGTATGATCTGATATATTATGTTTCAGAATGTTCCATATGAACTGTGAAGTTTGGCAGTGATCACTCTAATATGGAATTTAGTGATAACTTGTACCTAACGTATAACCACCAGGTAATTCATTTGTGAAGTACCTAAGTAATGCTGTAGTAGTATTATGTGATAAATATTTAGCACTACATTACATACTATAATATCTAAATTAACTGGGTATTATATTTTGTATAAAAATACAACTCATTCAATCAAAGAAGGTAGAAATATATTAACTATTCTCCATACAAATTTGTGATAACATTACGATTATTGCTGATGAAAGCAGGCATTAAAATCCCTAGGCGTTTGTACGAATATTTTCTAATTATTATTGTTTTAAATTAATTTAATTTAGAATTGCAAAATATTTAACTCATTGTTCAGTTTTTATGAATTAAATATTAGGTTATATAAAAATAAAAATGGTTTTAATAGTTGCTCCACAAAATATTAAAATACAATTTTACAATTCTTATTATATTTTATGAATATTCACTTACTAGTAACCACTAAATTAAAAAAGCAGTTAAATTTCATTATGAAACTGTAATATACTGAACATGGACCCTGACAATAAAAAAAACCTAATTTTTTTTTTTAGATTAAACATCTGCAAAAACACGACAGCAACTGGTGTAGTATTGACGTCAGAAACAAATTGTTTGCAAAACAAACAACATAGTAGGTAAAGAGACAAATTGTTCTATTAATAGGAAATAGTAAATTGTTCTGCTAAAATACAATATAAAAATAATTCTCAATTAGTAGTTTTAATAAATTAAAAAAAAAAAAAAAACATAAAATGTATATAATTAGTTGAGTATAATATGATGAATTTTTGAAGTAGTTTCAAATCATATAGTAATTATAATTTATTTAGCATATATAAATGAATACATTTTCCTAATTAATTTGCAACATGTAGTCATTTTTATTGCAATGTTTGCAACATTTCTAAATAGTAATATGTACCATTCTTTAAAAATAATAATTTGCAAGAAAAAATAGATTGATGTATTCAATTTTTTGCAACTTTCACTATTGGTTATACATCTGTGGTAAAAAATAAAATATGTGTGACACATGAAGTATGTACAGAAAATTGCAGACAAACAAGTTAGGAAGGCTCTCCTCAGTGCTAAATTACTGGTTTCAAAATGTATTTTTTTAAACAACACAATAAACTATAATTCCATGAACACACATTAAGTACATCAATATTGGCTAGTATGAATCTTTATCAAATGCCAAATATTGATATTTTTTTAATACTGGATAGTATAAATTTACTTTGATTGGAACCATTGTAAAATCTTAACACAAACAATCATAACTATGTCCAGTACATACTGGCTGACGGAAAACAATGGAGATATAAGGTGTTATAATGTTCTAAACACATGTTTAGAAAAGTAAAATAGAATTAAAATAACTTTCAAATAAGTTCAAAATAAAAATGTAACCTTTCCAATTTATATAATCCCATACACATTTCTAACAAGCATTTGTATCATAAACTTTAATATAATTATAAACAACAATATCAAACAATACAATTGAAGGTTGAATATGTAACCTACTATTTAACTAATCAAATTTTATAATTTATCACAGGTCTATGGACTATGGAGTGAGGTGTCAAACTAATGTGTCACGAGGCAAAAAATTGAATTGCTGTTTCAGAACTTTTTCCAAAAGCCCAAATGTGTGGTCAAGTATCACCAGGATTCACTATTACAGAATACATAACTATTATCTACAGATAAATACATTTTATTTGTTGATAATTATTTCTCAACCATACATCTGGATTATAAAAAAAAATATGTTTAAATTTCAACAGCTAGTATTTTAAATGAACAAGGTGACGAAATTTGAATTCAATTGTTATTTACTTTTAAATCATATTATTTATCATGTTATATTGTTATAACTTAAAAAATATCTCATACTGAGTGAATCAAATAGAAAATAAAATCATTTTTTGTTGGATATTAAATCACATTTATAATACTTCCTCCACCACTTATAAAAACAAAATAGTGTGAACAAAGTGAGGTATAGCAAAAAAGGCATTATTAAGGTCATGTAAACTGTAAACATTTACTTTATTACTATATAAGATTTGTTAAATGTTGATCTTTTAAAAATTGAAATCTATTTTTTTTTGAATACCCTACAAAATTTCCATGTAATTTAGATTCCAATATCCAATTGCTTTTTGATTCCTAAGGTGCAATACTTTTGCAGTTTTTATTTAATTCATTCCATAAAACTACTTACATAATTACTTACTTAACAACCAGAAAATAATTATATATTAAAATTAAGGTTGACTTACTATATAGCGACAAATCATACATCTTTGGATTAGTGCTCATCTTTTGTAAAAGGATTTTCCATGATTCTAAAGTCTCTGTAATATCTTTAAAAACAGATGTATTTTGATCAGATAGTATGCATTTCAATAAAACCAATATTTGCATTGCCTGGATTGAGTAATAATAGTAATTAATATTTGATGTTAAAAAATTAAATTAAAAATTGCGATTGATAATATTTATTTATTTACTTAAAATATGAAAAAAATAATATTTTACCATTAAATAGTCATCCCGAATAGTAAGATAAATTCTTTCTGTTTCTGTCACAGATTGTCCAAATCCCATTATTTTATTACAAGTATCTAACACACCTAAATCCACTTTCTCCATATAGTGTTTGTAATATAGCCACATATGAAAGTAAATTTGTTGTATTTCAGATCGTAGCTCTGTTGAATGTTCAGTTATTAAACAAAGTTTCCATTTTGAATCTTTTATAGGTGCTTTCATTATCCTAAAATAATTACACATCTTAATAATATAGATTCATAGACATGTTTAGAAGAATGTATAGTATTTTATACAATTGAAACTAAAACAGCAGAATAAGGTTGCTTAATTGAACATTTAACTAAATACTTAAGTTAATATAACAGAATAATTAATATGTTAATATAAAATAATATTTACTCAAAACATATTTTGTAAAACGGTAAAATTTCTGAAGAGCATTTGTTTACTGTAAATTTCTTAAGTGAAAGTTCTTGGATTGAATCAGGTTTCTTTTGAATAACTTTCGGACAGAGCTTTAAAATAACACATTTTTGTTTATTTTTAAATATATTAATATTTTAAGAAGTATTGTTTCTTTTAATCTATAAATGCATTAGAAGAATTATAGATTGATAACATAACAAAAACATGGCTTAATTACTATTATAATATTAATGATTTCAACTAATAAAAATGACTATTTTTATAATATACACTAGTTGTACAAAAACATGACATATTTAGTAAGGATATAATTAGTTTTAAGATTAAGTAAAACACAAAAACTATAGAAATAATGTTATTATTAGATACATAAGTAAGTATTTTGAGGTATATACAGGCACAGATTGGACTGGTAAGGATACTAGTAACTTTCCCAGTAGAATGGCTTCATGTAGTGTATCAACTTTAAAGTACATTAATAACAGGTTAAGGGGCAAACTTGAGACTAGACAATCGCAACAGCTGGGAAGATTCGTGTTGTCACTTCAGAGCAATCAATATCTATGGAAATATTTCGTTTTTAAGTTATAGCTTGTTGAAGCACTCGGTTTTTTCTTTTTTTTTACATGCGAAAGCTGTGATGTATTGTATATTAATATTTGTATGTGTGAGTTGAAGTATGACAAGTAATAGCTTCCTCCTACACCTTCCATTTCTGGTACCAAGACTCTAGGTCCTAGTGGCATCTTAGAGACTTCTAGGTTAAAGGTGTAGGCCCCAACCTCTCCAGAGATGGAAAATAGGAAAGGAAATAGTTATTTTGAAAGTAGTTTGACAAATCCGAGCAACAAATTTTGATTTCTGATTGTACCAATATTCTTGAGTAAATTAAATATGTCAACATAAATGATCTACCAATTAAGTTACTTTTACCAGAACATGTGGTTAAAAACAATGTGGCTAACATAAATCCTTCGAGCTTTTTGTGATTGCCTCATACCTTAGGAATTAGTGTTAATTTCCATTAAAAGATATCTGCATTTCAATATTGACACAAGTGAGATCATCAATAAAGCAACAAATAGCTCAAAAAAAAAATATCAACCAAGAAACTAGTGCACTAGTGTATTATTTAGTTTTTTTTTATTAGCATTTATAAAAAATTTGGCTCAAAAGAATTAATAAGTTATACATACATTTGTAAACCTAACTAAATTTACCAGGCCAAATTAATATCCTGATTCATCCCTGGGTACGCAGTGTTTCATCCTAAAATTGTCATAATGTTAAATATAAATGTTTTATTGGTAAAATTGGGAATTTTCTCCCGTGAAATTCATAGATTTTTAGTACAAAATAAATTTGTTTATGTTTGGGTTTTGAAATACATTCATTATAAGGATAAGGATAAATTGTAATTTTATGAATGAAAAAAAATCTAGCTTTTTTATAACCTGAATCATTTAATTCTCACATATTTTTAGTGAATTTATGTACTTCTTTATTTTTAACTAGTAATAATTAATACAATAACAATAATCCTTTTTATTGTATCAATGAGATGATCGAATAACATTAATATGAGTACCTATAGTAACTGCTCCCCCAAAAATAGCTGATATACTTAAATATAAAAGACAGTTATAATCTACATTTAAAATTATGAATGTTTATTAACAGATAAAATTATCATTAATCACATTCAGAATTAAACATAAAGCTTGACATAAAATAAATGAGTCAAATTAATATATTTACCAGAGTTTCTTTCTTATCTAAGAAATTACTTAGTACAATAGTCTCATTGCTCATCATCATTAATTGCTCATAATAAGATATTTGTTCTTCATTTGGAAGCTCAAATTCAGGACCTAAAAAACGATACATTAACTTTAGTTCACAAAATAAATGATAACTCAAAGAAATTATTTTTTAAAAATCACAAAAATTAAGTATTAAATCATACATCTAGAATAACCTTAATAAATTTCATTGGAAAAGAAAAATGACTAAATATGGCTTTCATATGTAACTGAAAGTATTCAAGCAGTATTTCCAACCAAAATGCTCTTCAAAAATTATTTTTTCCCCTTAAATATTAGTCATTAATAATCTTAAATTGTTTTTTTTTTAAAGAACAGTGAATTTGTAAAATTGTAAATTTCTCAAATGCTTTTGAGTGACTTTTTGTAAAATATAAAGATGATACAAAAATACAAAATGTATGGTTCATGGTTTCATACATATAAATAATAATTGTAGTAACTTACCATTTATAGGATAGCTTATGTTGAGAACATTTCTTCGTGGATCATACACTTCAGATTGCATACACAAGTAAGGATTTTTATCACTGCGTAACTCAACTCCTCTAAATTGTAGACATAAAAGAAAAAACTTAAAAATAAAATATTTAATTGATTTTAAAAAAAAAAAAAGAATATATAATGATATTTATCCATGGACACTGCACATAAATTTAAAATGTAAATGGCACCTTAATTACTGTAGGTATATAAACTTATTTTACTTATTAAAACATAATCCATATTTTTGATAATTTACTGCTGTTCTCCTAAAAGCACTAAAACTTCAATTAAACAATTATCTTCATTTATAATTTTTAAATTTTTTTCTTTCCCATACCTATATATAATATTATTAGGTTATACCTGGTAAATTTAACATCTATATTACTAGGGGTAAATGAAACCTAGGTAGAAATTTCACATGTGGTGGGTAGTAATAACAAATAAGTAATTTATTTTCTTATGTGTAACTAATAACAAACTGAAATCAAAGAATATTTGAAAATATTGTCTTTATGACTTATTTAGCCATCTTTGTTTTAAAATTCCGAAAAATCAGAATTTTAAATCATTATTAAATGAAAAATGGGGGTGAGGAGCTAGCTCTGTATACATATTTTATATGAAATAATAGTGTTAAATAAACACAAACCACGCAGATTAAAATCTCATAAGAAAATGCTGAGTTTTAGAGTTTACATGGACACCCTTGGATATGTAGGTGCTAAGTAAAGCATGCATGATTGGCATAAACTAATTGTTAAAAACACAGTTTTGGTGCATCACACGAGAAATACGTGATAAATGTCAAATTCCAAGTGTGTCCAAAATTGCTAACATCTAAGGGGCCTATTGCCTGAATGACAAAATACATTACAATACAACTTTACATATAAATTAAAAAATATTCAATTTTCATGAGCCTAAACAAAATACATGTGTGAGCCACTCAAAAGCCGCCTATAGGGATGGAAATATGAAGCTACCAACCCTTCTTGAGTCTTAAGGAATATATTGATACAATTTTTAATGAAAAAGGTTCAGTATTTTTGAGTCTGTGGCGAGAAATATCAATTTATTTAAAAGTACCTGTACCGTTAATATTTTAAAACACTATTTCAATTTATAATTCTGTTGCTCCAAGCACATACTCTTAGGCTACTAAAAACAAACTGAAAACCACCGTAACCATTTTAGCAAAACCTCTGCAGACCAGACCTCTCTCAAACTCTGTCATTCATTGATGAACTCAAAGCACTAATGACTCCCCTCATCTCTTCTTACCAAAATCATTAACAAACTCATTACCTCCAACAATTAATTACTCAATAATAATCATTATGTTAAACAAAAAACGAATTTATCATTTTTGAAGAAGTGTCATTGGATGCCCTCTTCTTTCATTTCTCCACGCCTAGTATATTATATAAAATACCATATTTACTTATTGTATACAGATTGTAAATGTTTCATTTCTCCAATAAAGAAAAAAATGTATCTTATATTGGTTAGTGCTGAACTAATACAACATTTAACTGTCTAACAATTTAAATAGGTAAATTTTCTATTAAGTAAAAGTAACATACTATTTTGAAGTTGGAAATTATTTCTAGAAGCAATTAATGAAGCAACCTATTTCTAGTGGATAACTGATAATATAATATAAATACAATTATAACTCATAACCACTAATAAATTCGAATATCATACCTAAAACATAATTTTAAGTTTTTAATTAGGTATTAAACACATTTCTCAATTAAACAGTTAGGTAGCCAAGAAGAAGTGGGTACCTATCTGGAATTTTACAAGGCACCTGCCTACTAAGAAAAATATAACGAAATAAATAGGTAAATAAAGTGAGTACCGTGAATACGCATAAGCTGGTAGTCCTTCTCTTAAATTTTTTTTCCTCCCGTCCCGGTCGAATTGTGGTTTGTAATTTGCGTACATTTTCTAGAATTCCGCAGACATAAAATGACATATTAAAATACAATGTATGTTAACATAGAAAATAAATACTATACGCTGAAGAAATTCACTCACGAAAACTGAAGTAGTCGTTGTCGTTGACGACGTACCAAGGTAAAACGTGTGTGCCAAACCTACACACAGACTAATGGAATTATTGTAAAACGTTTGACGCGGTGACTTTATGTTTTTATAATCTTAATAAAAATCACCGTAAGCCCTGGTCTCGGAACTCGGAGGAGACGCGAACGTCGCGCCGTGGAACTGTGGTCGTAACTCGCGTGTGGACACGTGTGGATGATGTAGGAATCGGTCATTAGTGTTGGCGCGCGTTCGAGCGTTATCGCGTTGGACTCCGCATTTAACGTTCGACACGAAAATAGCTACGCATTACAATGCCGTATCTATTATCTTGATTGGAGGAGTACCTAGTACAGTAGTACCTGGTAAAGTAGGTAGATTAAGCACAGATTGACCATTATGAAGTATCGTGTTTCAGCAGCGGCTATTTAACGGCGTGCAAGTATATTATTTATATTTAATTAAATCGTATGCAATTATTACATCGAATTCTCTCATGGATTTTCTCACAACTCATAATGATCAGTTTTACCAATTGATTTCTAAGATACACGAAATTCCTATTTACGTCCAAATAATTTAATTTGAAACATATGGGTATAATATTGGTTATGCATAAACACAGTATTTTAAGCTATCTCTAGGATAATAACTGTACACCAGGGCCCGCTGCGAAATAATAAAATACGTTTATAGTCTTTAGTGGAGTAGAGCCAGTGCCCAGATTCCAGAAGAGGATTCGTCAGTTCGTCACCTCCATGGTTATTTACTACTTGATTATAGGATCTTGACTATGAGAGTGGTATTACTTCAAAATAAATTTAATAAATTTAATCATCAATCAGATTTTAAGATAGACCGTGGATCATTGCATGTCTAATGACACTAGTGTAAAGGTACGGTTTCCCTGCAACGTCAGACGCGAGAACAGCATGGCTGCGTCGGACGCGGCGTCTAGACGCAACCTACGTCCAGACCGGTAGTGACGCTTGACGCTGCGTCTAGACGCTGCAGGGAAACCGTACCTTAATAGTATTTTTTTTAATGGTTCGTGGTAAATTATATTGTTAAATTTGTATCATACTCGAGGTACATTTTTAGACGTTGTAATTTACATAAAAATATATTAAGCTATTCATACACAACATGTATAATGTATATTATGTTTATCGTATATCACAGTCAATTTTCTCCAAAAACTCAATATCACCACCTGATTAGGCAATTATTCATGTATAATTAAAGTAGGCTATAGATTGTAATATGGGTAAGCAATTGATGTGTAAGCGTTGACTTGCATAAAATCTGGACATTTGCGATCAGACCATATTGCTTATGTAGTTATGTCGGATTCGTAGCCGCAAATATGGGAGGCATTAGGGGCTAAGCCCATCCCCCCCAAAAAAATAAATCAAACGCTATTTTTGCCTATGACCGGATTGTCCGGATTGTATACTCAACTGATTTATTTAAATAATTTAAAAATTCCAATAATGTGCTATTAGTTAAATTATGTTTAAGGGACCATAAGGAGTAAGGACTAATGAAGGACTAACGTCTAACTTACTAAGGACTATTTAATAGTCAATACCTATTACCTAATAAATGTTTAGTGATTCAGTGATTGTTTATGGAATTCAGCATTAGAATTTAAAATACTGTTTTATTTATTAAAAAAAATTTGAAAAATGAACATTTAAAATAAATTAAATACCTACCAATCTACCATAATATTGATGGCTCACAATAAATTATATTATACAAATTATTAATTATATGCCATATGCGCATTATTAGGTACAATTATTAATTATTTGAATTTCCATATAAAATAACATGTAAGTATGATAAGTTTTACTAAAAACGTTGCACTTTTAAGAGATGTTTTTCTGTATTTATTACTTATTAGATAGGTACATTGTATACTTATTAGAATAGGTACTTAACATTTATTGTGATAAAATATAAAAATCAACAAAGTTTTTCAAAAAGAAACATTGTATTTTAATCAATAATTGTATAAAATACATTTTGTATACATTTTGTTTAAAATATTATTTTCTTACACACTATAAAATATTAATTGTTTAGAATCAAATAAAAACAGCAGTCATAGTCAAATAGGTCAAGAATTATGTTAAGGTTACACTAATTTTCAAACAAAAATTAATGTATTGAAAATACTATCTACTTAACAATAGCACCAAATAAATTCTACTGGATTGGTTACAGTATAAATTACTTACATGGAATATTAATTGCATTTTCAGTCCTCAGCTATACAAATTGAACATTTTATACATTTTTAATTGTAAAATAATTTTCAAAATTTTTGATTTTATATATATTGTATATTTTTCAATTGCTATTGTAACAATGTATGAGGAACCTTGTATTATATTATCAATTTTTTTTACCTGATGAAAAAAATGTTATTGACATTTTAATTTTTTTTTATTTATAAAGGGTAAGAGAACGTCCATTGACACTACTTCCAATTTATAAACTTTGGGGGGAGGGGGAAGTTGTCGTAGTATAATACTAAATATAGATCAAGTGGCGATTTGCGCCTTAGACGACGTAGAGGGTAGTTAGGTAATGTGACTATGTGAGAGAGGAGAGTTAAGTATGATGGGGCAGTGTGATTAAAGGAGCTGTTATGAAATTTGCTATAGTGATAGGAAAAAGTGTGGGTAGGGCAAGGGCATTGCTGGTATGTTAAGTCATAATAATGTAATGACTAATGATGTAGGGGCTGCCGCGTAATTTTCGAGAAAATTTTATGAGAATGCTTTTACTATGAGAACTAATAATAACTGGAAAACACTTCTTAGTACTTAGTAAAATTAAAGTAGGAAAAGTATATTTTATGAAAATATTTTACAAGATTATTCTTAGGAATTCAAAATGTATGAAAATATAAATCAGGGAAATAGTATTTGGTTAAACAATACACCATGACAAAATGTGCAAGAATTCAAAATCAGAAAACTAATTGCATAGGATAATATTAGTAATATAACACAGGAAAGTAATATTCATGTACTTACCTGTGTAGGTACTAGGTACTTGTATATTTTGTTTGTCTTTGTTATCTTATCAACTTATCTGAGGCATCGTTGGAATAACAAAAATATCCAACCTTAAAAATAGAACTAGATTTTGGAAAAACAAATTAATTTGATTTTCTATTCATCACTTTACTTTTAATTTTTCTTGTCTATATTGGGTCATTTTTTTTAGATTTATTATTGTAGCTTAATTTTGTGATTTATAAATGCACATTGAGTGCTTATCATGATCATTGCCGCCAGCCGGTGATCAGGCAAGTGGCAAGTCGCGAGTATATTAGGCACCACTATATTGGCGGGCAGTTGAAAATCTCGGAGGAAAAAAACTACTTTCAAATACTAGTGCTATTATCGTAGTAGTAATTTACTGCAGTGGCAGACGCCAGACAGCAGTACAACCACTGTCCTGAGGTCCTCCTACATCGTCATTTACGATATTTGGACATTTACCCTCCTTAAACTTCAGTGGTACTGGACTTCCCTCTGGGACAGAGACATTTCTCACCTGAATCAATATACATTTTTTACACATAAAAAGAGGTTCTTTGGTTTTACCAGAAAAATACAATCATCATATCGGCATCTATTGACTATCATAATAATTCACGTTATTATTGAAGCTAAACAGATGAGCAACTCAAGTGTATCAATAAACATTTTAAATAATAGAGTAGGTGCTTTTCGTTATAATTTAGGTAAAGACGACAAGTTAAAAAAGTTATGAGAAAGTTTTTCAAATGATATTTAAAATTTTTTAATTTCTTTGAGCTATACCAGAATAAAAAAATATTATTTACCATTGAAACCGTTGAAAAATGTAATGCTATCATAACTGTGTTTTTAATTTTAAAACAGTTTTTGTACTTCTAACAATGTACCTAAGGGCTATAGCAGTATTGTCCAGTGTCCATCAATGTGCTAACTAATATAAAAAATACATTTATTACATACACTACAAACTATTTAATTGGGCACATGAAAGTGATTTCAGAGAGGCAGAATCTTTAAAAAACGATCTTTATGATACAACTTGGAACCTCGGTGAAAATGAAGTGGCCAGCTTTGCAGTCCCTACAATTCATTATTGTTGTACATAGGAATGCATTAGTAAAATAGTTAGTAATGTTTTTTATACACACAATATCATCTTAAAAATATTGTTTTCACTACGCTCAACGACTACTGTCTTACATTCTCCACTTTATTCTCAGTAAAAACCTAAAATATATATATTTAATAAATAACAATAAAATAGTTTGTATTATTTTTTGAAATAATGAATAATTTAAGATGATTATTAGTTAGGGGTAGCAGTTTTTGTACTTACCTAATAGAATGATTACACCAATTATACTTTATAATATTATTTATATTGCAAGATAAAAAAAGGCCCTGTTGATCCCTATCGACTATTTGTTTATTACATAGAAGAGTTTCTATGGGCAGAAGTAATATTATTCAGAATACTGCACAAAACCATTCCCAACTGGTTTGGTTTTTGATTAGCAAAAAATAAAAGTTGACATATGTATGAGGAAGCTTGTATACAATTTTCATTATATTATTATTGTTAACATTAAATAATTGATTTACTTAATATTAACAGTACAAAATACATAAAAACATTACATTTTCAATTTTACTTTTTAGCAATTAAGTTAATGTTAATAACTATAAAATAAAGTATCCGAGTTACCAAAAATTCAAATTTATTTAGAGTGGAAATCTGATTGTACAGGTGCAAATATAAAATTCTAAACAATCAATAAAACATTTTAATTGTTGTTGTAGTATATTGGAATAAGATTACACTCTTTATGTATTAACAAAAATCAATAAATCATACGTATTTTTAATAGAAGATGAGTAAACAATTTTTATCGAAAATAAATATCTACTTTACTTTTAACTACATGGATTTGAGGTAATACATATTTTTTACATGGACATTTCATACCACCAACAAAGTCAAAAGAACCAACTCTTAAATTGCAATTTGGACAACTCAATTTACCCTTTTGCCAATCATCCTGAAACAGATAAAAGAATTTTTAGTGAACATTTATTTTGGTAACCATATAAATAGTTATGGAATTGTAATAATATATTAATACCTATCACAATTTTCATGAAAAAAAAAAATTATCCAACAAAATTAATTTAAAAATAAAGTTTAACTACTAAGTAGCACTAAAGTTAACTAACATACTTCTTTTACATACATTTTACTGATACTTTGTATAGGATATCGAAATATTGATTCTTTATTTGATAATAATAGACCATACACGTCAACAGGTCGGATTATAGTATTACACTGTGATACTTTAAACTGAAGTATGATAGGTTAATATTATTTAGAACTCTACTTAATAGTATTTATTTGTAAATCTCATATTACCTATTTAAATTGTAGTTTTAAATGATTTTAATTAGAAGTTGAAGAATAGACATATGTAAATTAGATATGAAGTGTATTTTGAGAAGGAATGTTGCATTAAAGTATTGATTGAAGTAGAGGGACTAGTAATAAAGAAGCTAGGAGTCATATAAATTATCTCCGCAATTGAGGTGAGAGAAAACATAAAATTGTAACAATAGTTGATATCTCAGTACAAGTCTCTACTCTCTACAACAAAACCTATAAAAATTTGATAATTGATGTATTACTTCAATTGTTGTTAGTACAATTAATTGATTTGATGAACTTACTTCTTCGACAGCTGCATTTATCCATTCAGGTAAAGTAGTAGATGATATATACCAATTATTTTCCATTACGTTATCGTTACAACTATATGTAACTCTAGCTGTATTTTGAATTTGCTTTTCGTGGCAATCAAGAATCGATGAACTCTCACTTGATACTAATTCAAATCGACATTTTTGACATTTAATACTAATATTAGTCATTTTAACTAAATACAAAAATTGATGAGAAATAAATTAAGATAAAATATTATTCATTTACAAAATAAATAGTTTCTTTCAATGTATATTGATGTACTTGCTATTTAAATCTAACAAACAGTTTTTTTGTTTTAGCAAAATTAAAAATCTGAAAAATGTGACAATTTTATAATAAGTATTAAAAAGTAGAACCTATATCATAAGTGTATCAATAGCCGTGGTTTGAAGTCAGATAACAAAAATAATAGCAATTGATAATGTGATAAGGCCACATGAGATTATATCTTATTGTTACCACAGTGGTAACTATAACGGTTTTATAATTGAACCTTGGTTTATTTTGTCGAAAGTTCGTGGTTGGCATAATATTATAATGGATATCATTAAAATATCATAGTTCTATCAAATATTATTAACATTCCATTCTACTATTCTAGTGCAATTACTGTTTATAGTGAATATTTAATGGCCTTATCTTTAGAAAATTGAAGGTAGTTTAGTCTCGAGATATTTTTGTAAGCCTATATTTACGGACAATCATTTTTATTGGAAAGTGTTCATTTTTGTTCGTGACGTGACAGTTTTAAATAATATTAAACCAAGTTTAGTTACAAATCAGAGAATTGAAATCTTCGAGGATGTAAGTTAATTATTTGCAATGCATCCCGTACGAAGACGTAAGAAACGACCCAACTATGGTGTACGTATGGTAGAAGTTAATAGAGGCAAAAATGGATTTGGATTTACTATTTCTGGGCAGCAGCCATGCATACTTAGTTGCATTGTTCCTGGTAGTCCTGCCGATGAGGCTGGTCTTAGAGCAGGCGACTATTTGGTAGCTGTCAGCAACCATAATGTTAGTAAACTATTACATGATGATGTAGTACAATTAATCGGTGGATGTCAATCTGCTTTACGATTACAAATAGCTGAGAATTATTATTCTGACAGCTCTGATGAAGAATTTAAAAATGAATTAGGAAGACAACGTCCAAAATATCCACACAAATCTAGGCCAGCCTTAACTCCTATCAATGTAAATAAAATGAGAAATGATGATGCAGATTATGGAATGGAGTTTGCTCATATATCAAAACCTTGCAATCGAAATAATAACAATTGTTCAATATATGATAAAGAAGCAGTAACCATTTATAATTTTCAAATAGTTGTGAGGTATTTAGGTTCAATTGAAATGCCATGTATACCTGCTGGATCTCGGCTACAAGTTAGTAATTTTAAATCTACTAATTATTTCTGTTTAAGATATTATTAACTAATTGATAGTTACAATTCATAATTTGAAAAGCAAAGATTTTTCATAGTTTCTATTTTAAAATTTAACTGAGAAAAATATAATTCTAAGTATAAGTAGGTATCGTATCTACCAAAACGCTTGTCAAGTCAGTGATCGGCATGTAAATCTTCTTGGTTTTTAATTTTTAGAAATGTATTAACTATATGTCATATGTGTGCATTTTATTGCTATTTGATTAAACCAAAATTGTGCTTTAAAGACATTTTTAATCGCAAATTAATTTATTGAGAAGATAATAGAATATAGTAGGTTGAATATTATTGGTTTGAATTTAAATCTTGAAGTTTTCAAAATTCAGACTTTTTTCATTTCAATTAGGTACCATACTTACTTGATGTATATGAAGAAAGTAAAAATAATGTAGGTACTTACCTATTACTTGAATTTTTTAATTAATAATGTATGTTTAAATAGTTTATTTGTAATAATTCATAAAAATATTTTGTATCTATATGATATTTATCTTAATCTAATATTATTTTTATCATTTTTGCGTTAATTTTAATTGTTGATTTCCTATATATTGTTTATAATATGTATAAAAAAAAATAATCAAGCCTGTGTAGTGTGTAACTTACAGATAACACATTCTAATAATTACTATTCAAACTTATATACGTATATATTACTTATATATCTATAATATGTTTAACCTACTCTCTGTATTAGATAGAGTTATTATGTTGTTAAATAACTTATAATTGTTTTAATTTCTTTTAAATTAGGTTGTAAAAAGCTGTATTAAACGTTTGAAAGCAGAAAAACGTTCTCATGCTGCTGTTTTGATGACAGGATATGGATCCAGTCTTTGCTTACAAAATAATGCAGGAGTAACTTTAGCTGTTTATCCGGGTAGTCGTGTCATGTTTTGTGCTGCCAGTTCTGACCAAAATAGCAAATACTTTGGTGTTGTCACTATATCATCTATAGATGATGAGCCATCCAATTCGTGTCATGTATTTGCTATAGACCCAGTATCACATGATGACCATTGTGCACAAGCTAATAGTTTTAAAATCACATGTGTCAGAGATTCGACTGGTGTATGCACTCAATTCCCTCCAAACTGTGATAACGTTGTTATTGCTATCGAAAAGTATTATAAAAATGATGCTAATCGTATGTCGGTTGTTGGAAATTCACCACACCCAAGTCATGATAGCACGACAACCACAACAAGCAATAGTGATTCAGGCATTGGATATAAGGATTACTGTAGTATGCAGACAGATAGAATATTAATGGTTGATGTACAGAATCAATGTTTACACATACAACAAGTAATTATTATTTATTTGTTTAGCTTAATAAATTATAATTATTATATATTTTTTGTAAGGTTGGTGAAATGGCTACACATTGTGTAGATTGTTCAGATTCAATTACTCCTAAGGATAATGTAGTTGAACGAGGAGCTAGAAGTCGTTCACCACTAAGTACTAGCTCAGTTGATCTTGTATTTAGTCAATTAGGACCTGATTATACTATATTAAGCAGATCTCCTGGGCCCCGTAGATCAAAAAGTGAGAGTAGTGTACAATATGAAAATAATTCATGTGAAGGAATGAGTTTGGGAAGCAGTTATCGAAGTCAAGAAATATTATTATCAGATGTCAAAACAAAATCAAATACAGAATTTGAATGTTCACGATATCCCCTTGTTACTCAAAGTTTGGAAGACTTTAAAACTAATGACGAGGATTGTATTGTTAACATATGGGGAAGCTTACAAAATGTTAAAGAAGGAACTGAAGATTTCATTCCAGAAACAGATGGATTTTATGTAAGTTGATATTTTAATTAGTTAGTAACAATTTTTATTTCTTATACTTGATAGCTGTAGATATAGAACTGTAGAAGTATCTATATTTGATGATAAAAGTAAATAGATTTTGCGATAAGTTATGTTAATCAATGTTATCTTTGGGTTTACAATAATATATTTCATTTCACACTGTTAATGTTTCTGTTAATTGAAGCAAAACTTTCAATTAAAATCAATTAAATTTTTAGTTTATTTGAGACACAGACCTTATACTATTGGACAAGCAATGTGTGTATGGGAACGTAACAACACTTTATTCGAGACACAGACCTTATACTATTGGACAAGCAATGTGTGTATGGGAACGTAACAACACAGTAGGTGCTCGTTCCTTGCTTGTTTACTGAATATGATAGTACATATTTGGTCAATAGTTCCAAATATTCAAAGCGTGGACATTCTACATAAAAATAAGAATTTAGAATATTAAAGTTCATTGTTCTGGTTCAAAATAATGTATAGAACTTTAATATAGAATTAATATATATAACACATGTTTATTAACATATATAGATCCTTGATCTGGTGGAAGCTTATTTAATTTTGGATTTTTGTTATGCAATAGGTCTTCCAATACTTGATTAGTTGATTCATCCAAGTTATCTAGATCTTTTTCATTGCTTAGTGTAATATTTTGTTTCTAACATATAGATTATTGTATTTTGTTGTCGAGAGTGCCTAATCACTGCTAGATGTTTGTACACTACTCACAATACTGTTGTCTTACACAGTTTTTGTTTTGTAGTATAAGGTCTGTGATTCAAGATTAAAAACATGTTTGGTTAATATAAATTTCACAATTCAAGCTACATTAAATAATGAGATTGTGAACTTCTATGTATAATATTTATAAATTATATTTATTATATTAATATTTATAAATTATATAATATAAATATTTGGGACCCTTAATTGTGACAGAATCTCTAATGATAGAAATGGTTTAACCTAAATTCCTGTAATTTGTTGCCTTTACTGAAACTACATTGTCCTCCATATGATTACGAGCCCATCTGTAAAGTTTTAAATTTATCCAGTCTTGCTGATCTTAGACACATCACAAATATTTCATTTATTACAAAGCTGTTATCTAACTTAATTGACTGCCCTTCTCTCCTTCATCAATTAAATTTTAGAGTTCCACCATGTCTTACTAGATGCAGTTCTTCATTTTTTATTTCATTTTATTCTTCTAATTATTTACTAAACTATCCTATTAATTGTCTTAAGAGTATTGGCAATGAAGTCCCTATTTTTAATTATCCTACAAATTCATCAACTGGGTCTTTACTAACATCAATTATGAACATTATTACCTTTTCTTATAATTATATAATTTTTTATCTTTAAGTTATTGTAAATATTTATTTTATATTTTACATTACTTTGGGCTCTAGCATGTATATTATAAAAAAAATAAAAATATTATCATTTTATTATATCTATTATAAATAGTAATTAAGTTAGATATAAGATCTTGTGGGGCGCCCCCACACAAACCTGTTCAGTGAAGCACATTATCTCTTTGAAAGAATGAATAAAAATAAAAATAAAAATAATTTCATTATGGCTTGTAAAAGTTATTAATACTTATTATAGTATAATAACAATGATGTTGATTAAAATAGTTATTGTAATAAAATAAAAATTATAAATTATATTTTTATATAATAAAAACAAGTATTACTAAATATCATAATAATACATTTTTATCATGAAAATTCAGCAATGTGTTTTTATAGTTTATGTTGTTGATAGTTGAAAATATAAATTAGTTAATGTTACACTTCTTATTAAATGTTTACAACATTTAATATTATGATTTATGAAGTTTTTAATAACGGTTTCCCAAAACATAATATTACATGTTCTTGAGTTGAGTTCATTAGTATTCATTATATGTAATTCTAATTACAATTTTAAATGTGATGATAGGTAGGTTACTATATGACGTCACTTGAATATCCGTGACATGTGTCTGTCATACATAATTGAAAATCAAAATAATATATGAGTATGTGAACTATGTGAAAATGTTAAGTTTAGTGTGACATACAGGTATCATATTCTTAGAAGATGTATTTCATTAAATA